CCCCCCCCCAGTCTCCCTACCATCGTTTTAAATTTTATTAAATCTTAAAGCTCTCCGAGACAGCCGCGTATTAATCGCCTGTTCGTGCCCTAAATATTTTGCCTAATTTGCGGTCGTTTTCTGATACTGAGCACTCCGGTCTGCTTGCCTGATCGTAGTCTGTAAAGTACAGATATACAATCGCAGTGCATGGTTTTTCCTCCTTGATCATTGCCAACAATAGTAGGCAGATTAAGAGTTCGCGATTACAATCTCCCTCCCTACCTCCTCCTCGTCTTAATTGGATTTATTTTTAAGTTGCTTTGAAAATAATAAACTGCAGGTAGCGCGGGTCTGGACTTTGAGGCAACTAACTTCTGACCAAATAAGTGCAAATAAGAATCTCGCAAAACAAAAGTTAGGTTTAAATTACTGTGTCTTGACTGGGGGGGGGGCACGAATATGTCAGAGGAGCTGTTGCAGTAAAATGTAAGCACATCATCTTGGAGGGGGTACAGCGTGGTGGGCGTATTGTTGGCTCAGGAGGGAGAGAAAGATGTATAATTTAATGGTATATACAATCCACTGATCCTATTACTATCCTCCCTGGAGCTCTTGTTAGTTTCAATGGGAGTGAGTGAAATTGACATGGACTTGCATTCCTGGTCATGTGCTTTTTTTCCCCCTTTCTTTCTTCTCTTGTGATCTGAGATCCCCTTTTTGTTGATGTTGCTTTCCCACTTAATTATATGCATGTAGGTTAAATGAATACCTGACGAAAGGGCCCACGTTTCAAGGCAGTGACATTTGATAGCTGAGAGGAAAAGTGGCTTTAATGAAAAGCAACCTTTGGAATTCCTGCTTGTGAAAAATCCAATTCAGCTTTTTGTGCTGCCAGCAAGAAATGATCAGTAGCACCAGTGTTTATGGTATGTCCGTTTTGGGATCTACTTCCTTTGCATCTAAATAGCAAAGACAAATTTAAATAGCATGATAACGCACTGAGGACTCTGCATGCAAATATTTTGTAATAAATGCGTAATGTTTAATAGTATATTTTCTTGTGTATATATAAGCTTTTTTTTTTCTCTTGCTATCATTTGTTTATCATTTCTGCTTCGATTATGGCATTAGTTTTGTCTATTGTATTGATCTCAGTTGTAAAACCTGAAGTTGCATGTTACTAGCTGTGCACTATACAGACCACTGAACTCCAGTGGTATGTAAATTAGTAAAACTCGGGGAGTGGAGAGGGCAAAAACGTATAGCCATGAATATATACACCTACGCATCTATGTGTTCGTACATACATGCCTTAAATGCATCTTTTCCTTTTGCAAACTAATAGTTTTTTAGTATTTATTTAAACTCCAGCTGCTTTTCCCTCTTTTACTTTCAGCGTAATCATCTGCTAGAGGTTCTAACTGAGGTGGAGTGAGGGAATGTTTTGCATGTAAACAAGCAAAATTACTGTTGTGGCCGAATGCTTAATACAATTTAATAAGGAGTATTTTATGCTCAGTTTACAAGTGTCTGGTTCACACTGCTCTGCTCTCAGTGCATAACAAAATGAAATAATCAGGTGCTGAAACTGCCTTCATTTTAACGGTCACTCTCCAGCCCCCCACACTGCCCCCTCCTCCAAAAAAGTCAGATAAAATGGAGCATGGGGAATTATTTCAATAGAGCTCCTTGTGGTGTAGTAGATGCACCTCTAGGTATGCAGTTAAGGCTAAGGAAGTAACAACAAAAGTGACTATTAGTCTGTTTTGTGCAACCAAAAAGGGGGTATGTTCACTTTTAATTGTGAGTGGTAGTAACAAATAAGGATGGAGAGAGACCCTAGCAGAGAGAGAGCGTGTGTGTGTGTTTGTGTGTGTGTGTGTGTGTGTGTGTGTGTGTGTGTGTGTGTGTGTGTTTGGGATAAGGGGGAGGTCTGGCATGTGTGGCTGATGATCTCTCGTAATAACATATCTGAATGCAAGAAAGAAATTGAGGGAGCAGTTGCACAATGTACACTCCTATTTTGGTGTTGTAGGTGACTGTATTGCTAAACATATCCCAGGTGCTGTATGATGGGAATGATCMGATTGCATTTTGCATTTAGAACTTGTTGACTTTGAAACGATCAATAAGGCAACTGTTTATTTTAGATGCACATAATTTGCTCTGAGAAATGTTTTAAGGAGAAGAGCAAGCAAGCGAGAGCGGAACATTTTTTTTTCTTTCTTTTTTTTTTTTTTTTTTTTTTTTTTTTTTTTTTTTTAGAGCTGTTGGAGCAAATGTGATTGCCAGATGGGAGATTTCCCTCTGTGATGTTAAAGCTGTAATATATATTCAGAGCAGATTGGACTGCTGCTTGTGATGAGGAGGATATTACATTTATAAATTTTAAATCGGGAATCGGACAGTATGCTGAGAGCTGAAATTGGATGGTGTGGAYGGTTTGGACTGTTAAATGAAATTCCCAGATAATAATAATAATTACAGTAGCAGTAATATATGTATATATAATAAACATGATACTATTAGGCAGCTATATATATTCTATGGTACTTAAGTATATTTTTCCAATATGACTTCTCTCTTTCCTCGCTTCCGTAAAATGTTAGGGATTGGAGGTGGTTGGGAGAGAGTTTAAGAACACACTGTTAGGAGAAGTCAAATATAATAAGGTTCCTGTTTGAGGAAAAGTTTTGCTAAAATTCCTTCTGCAAATTCATCTCTTTCTGAGTTTTTGTTTTGCCCGTGCATGTGGCCTGACAGTGCCACAGTCCTGAAAGGCTGGAAAGTGGGAACTAGTCACACTCGAGCAGCTCTGCTGTTGCAAATTAAAAGTGTGTTGTGGTCAGGAAATGAAAGCTACAATGTCTCTTTTGAACAAGTCGTTTATCAAGAGAAACATCTATCAAGCAGTGACTTGTCACATTGATCCTCTAAAAGTTAGGTCCGAAGTGGAAGCTGCTTTGATGTTTTTGATCCCAAATTTATAAAATTGGGAAAGCTGGAGAGAGTAGGACTGATTTGCACTTAAAAATTGCTCTGCTTTGGGCGTGACAAAATCATCAAGTATCTCTGATACAAGAGCTGGTAAACTAAGGAGGTATCGGATCTTCTGCCTAATTTTTATTTTCACATTGAAACTTTAGCTTTGCCACACAGGCAATTTCTTTTCATGCTTCTAAAGATCCTGTCTGTATGAATATCTCTGCATTATTTCATCGAGGATATTTTCTTGCTTGGGAATACATCTGTTGCTTCCAAATGGAACCTTTTTTTGTTGTCTTTCTGATGGTATTTATAGAGTTCAGCTTGAGAAGGCATTTTTTTCCTTTCCTCTCAATCTTGTTTCTTCTTCTATTTGTAATCTCAGTTTCCACCTCTCATCCCTGTGAAGCCAAGTTTCTTTTACTGCCAAAGTAATGTTTATTGCAAGTAAGGTACATTTGAAGGTATCTGTTTGCAAAGCTTAAAACATGTTAAGTGTGTCTTCCCCTTCTCATTTTCTTTTTCTATCCATTTTAGCACATGAACCATACTTTCATTCTCAACAGAAGCAGCGTATTTCAAATTGACTCTATAATTAAGGTTTCAAGTAAAAAAAATAAAAGACCAAAACAAAGTCTAAAACTGATCTTTTATCTTTCTCCATTTTCAACCATCTAAATTGTTTAGCAACTTCACTGAAAAGTTTTTCATTTTGCATAAAGTTTGTGTTTGGATTATCAAGGAATCCCTTTGAAGAAACAGGGGCTTGGTGTTTTGGTTGTTGTTGGGTTTCTGTTTTCTTGTCTGTGCTTTTCTTTTTGGCTAGGCTATGAGTGAAATCTTCCTTAAAGCAGGATGCTTTGACTTCTTTTCTTCAGTGTCGTAAATGAGACTAACAGTGCTTATGAATACTTGATAGAGACCCATTTGAAAATAGGCAGCAAACAGCAGCGTGGTGGGAGTTTTGGTGAGTGTTATACTTGCTAATTAATCATGTTTGAAATGAAGGAATCATAGCATGGTAATAAAGGCTCATTGTTGTTTGATGTTTGTAACAGGATGTGACTCCTACATGAATCTGGTGGGTTTGGAGGTTTTGTTGTTATTTCCTCCCGTCATAATAAAATACCTTCACTATTAGATCAAATTGTTTTTATTTATTGCAACATTGTGAAAGCATAGGGATGTTTGCTTATTCTAGCAGTATTTTAGAAATATGAAGATTATATTGTTATTGATATTTTCATCATAGAGTTCATGGGAAAAAATGACGAGTCTTATGTCATTAGCTGTTCTTTAAGATTTTTTTGTAGTTAAGCAGAACCAAACATTTTTTTGTGATTTATTTTCTTGATATAAAAAGGTCTACTACTTTTTCTTCTTATAATTGAAGAATGGCACTTGATGAACTTTTGTGCCCTACTTGGTTATGTGTATGTAGTAAGGGATGGCAACTAAAAATATACTCCGGAATACTTTGTGCATTAGCCCTTTAAAAATTGAACTGTAAACCACTTGGATGGTGTTTTTGTTTTCTTGGTTTTGTTTTTACTATAGCTCTTATTAGATGTGTCATCTTTAGGCTTTATTTTTCTCCTGTCTATTAATAACTGCCATATACAATGGTGAGAGAATCACTTTCAAACTACAAAGCTTTAGTTTCAAAATTTAATAAGGTTTTTTTTATGCTGCATGAACAAGATTTGAAATCTGCTGTTGTTTAGATGCTTTGTTTCTTTTTTAAAAGATAATTCTTAGAGGAAAATTATTCTGTATGGTTCCTGTCAATAAGTTTATACAATGAATGCATACAAGAAGCATTGAATATAATGACTGATCTTTCTGTAGTCTTAATCATCAATTAATAGGCTTATCTGCTTGTTAGGAGTGGGTTTAATGGTACAGAATCAGCATGAGATCTGTCTATATGAAACATTTGCAGGTTGTTTATAACAGACTGAGTTTTGATCTTGCATCCCCATATCTAATAATAGAAATATTTGGCTCTTTGCCCTCAATCAATATATCCGTTAACAGAAAAAAACTTCACACAATACTTTCATAAAGTGCTGGATGTATTGATACTGAGTTGATAAATTTAATTACTGGGGTTTTACATTGATTCATTGATCTTGTGATTGGAGGAAATTGTTCTGCAGACATTTCTGAAGTATTGAGGGATATCGTATGTCCATAAAGCTTGATTAATTGATAAATCAGCACTTTTTTTTGCTTCTCAGTTATTGATAAGACATAAAAATAACTATAAAAAGAATTTGGAATAAGCTAATTAGAAATTCTCATGTGTTACTAACAGAGCAGATGAGAAGCAGAGTACCATGGAGGTGAAAAAGATGAAGTTTGAAGTGGAATTGTGCCTATTGGGCCCAATCCTTAGCTGGTGTAAAAATATTTAGCTTTAAAAATATTTAAAATAATTTATAGTTCCCAGAATCTGAACCACTGTGGCTTCTTTTGGTTATTTGTTGTTGTTTGTTTTGGTAGTAATAGCTTTTCTTTCTCCTTTATTTTTTTCTTTTTCTCCCAGTACTGTTCTTTCACTCATTGGAAGCTGTTTTAAATTAGATRTTATGGATGTATGGAATTTTAGATAAGCATCTGATCCAAAATGAATAGTATAGCTATAAAACCTATTTGAAGAGCCGTAAATTCAGGATTGCGTATCCCTGATATTGTTGCAGAGTATTAAAATCTTGCTGCTAGAGATGCTATCCTCTAAGTGAAAACTTATCTTCCTTATGGGAAAGATGACTTCAGGGAACTCTCAGCTGGGAAAAGGCCCAGAAGGTTTTTTTTTGCTAAAATAATAATTAAAAAAATCCAATATGTAGAATTAGTTACAGGGATATTTTCCAGGTGAAAAACCTTACGGGAGTACTTGGCTCCATTTCGGTGAGGTATGCGACCTTTTCACCCTATG